TTGGGACGTCAAATAGTCAGCGAGGTTGCATCCAAGCCCAGGCCATCCTTGGGGCCTCATCATAGTCCTCCACTAGCCAAACCAAGCCAAATCAAAAGCAAAACCAAGAAAAAAAATCATTTCTTATTGGAATTCCGCTTTTTACATTTACCACTCTTTTTGCTAAAACCCTCGTCATCATTTTGAATGATACTCAAGTCGTAATTTTTCCATGAATCAAGATCCTCCCTAAAGAAACTTCCATCATCATGTGAATTGTTATCAAGTAGCCGCTCACCATGCAACACCACACTATCCTTAGAAATGTGATATTGTAAAACCTCCCTAGACACAAGAGTTATGGGCACAAAAAAAATTGGGTCACCAATACTTTTAGACAATGGATTGTCACCCTCAGAAAGTGGCCAAGTAACCAAAATGCTAGGCCCATAATCCCCCTCATTTGAAGCATAATCACTAACTTCAACATCACACTGAACCACACCGCCAGCATCAGGCAAATCAGAACCGGTCGAAGGAACTACAGCAAGCACAGAGACAGTGTCACAGCCATTGCCCAAGGGACTCAGATCAATGGGCTCACCACAATCCTCCACTTACAAGACTGCCGAATTCACATAACATATAATAAACGAAGGTAAAGCATTAGGTTTTAACATCACTAGCCACCCCCTCCACCGGCAAAATCACATTATCTTCCACTTTATCTCCCTCACAGAGATGAACCACCATATCCAAAGCCTGATGGGCAACCCCCAATTGAATGTCACTTTCCTCAATGCCCCCTAAAACCTGCTGGGATGGCCCAGCAGAGACGTCATCCTCAAGAGAAGAACAAACAAAGTAATAGTAACAGGTATAACCGAAGACTGACACACTGGCAATAGAACAGAAGGAGAAGGATCAGCAATAGTAGGACAAAGAGGAATAAGAGCAGAAACCCCAACACCCATAACATTACCCTCACCAACAAGAATGTCGAGATCATCAGACACCCTTAAATCTGGTTTAGACAAAGAAGGGTCAACAGGCAAAGAAGTATCCATAGGTCGGCATTCACCAACAGAATGACCAAGACACTTACATTTGGAACAAAAGTGTGGAAAATCTTCCATAAAAACATGTTGGAAATACCCTAATTTCTTTGGACCTAGCCAAATTTTGTCTGAAAATTTCTTAGTAATATCAATTTCAACCAGCACTCGTGCAACCGACGGACGGGACCCAACCGTAGTGGCATTGTCTACCTTCAATAGATTACCAAATAGAAGCCCCAATCTATGCAAGATACACGGAGAGAAAAAATGGGGACGCAAATTAGGGAAGGAAATCCAAATCGGGACAATGGGAGACTCATCCCCAATGTCATCATAAGGAGATTATTTAGACACCTTCATGAAGCAATTGAAGACCAAATAAAACATATGGCAGAACACCCTACTATAATTAAGATCATTTACTAGCTTAATGAGTACATGCGAAGAATCCAACACAGTCACGAAAAAAGCTCCATTTAACCAAAGATTGAAAAAAAAATTCGAATCGACGTAAGTGGAGGCCATCGGGAAGGGAAAAAATCAACTAACGAAAACCTAAAAGGTTTGGCAAGAGCCAAAAATTCCTCTTCCGACACCAAAAGAGCAGGAACGCCACGGAAAGAAGACCGAATAAATTTCAAAAACTTACTAGAAGAAGTTCTCGCCAAAGCTTCTAAAAAAGAACGAGACCTAACCGCTCCATCCAGAAAGCCCGGATCGGAAGCATCACACACCGCCATAACAAGAAACAAACGAGAGAAACCAAAAGGGAAGAAGAAAACAACCCTCGGCACACCAACGCAACCGGCAGAACGGCTAGGGCAAAGCCCTAGCCCAGCGACATGCCAAAAGACCGAGGAGGAAAAGCATCTCTACTGCTTCCCCGAGCATATTTGTTACTTCTCTAATTCTTCAAAAATTGAATACAAGTGAGTTGATACATTAAGAATTTTTGTAGAATTTATTATCAATTTTCAAAATTGGTCCTTATTATTAGGGTTTTAGATGTAAAGTAACTTGAGGTTTATTAATTAGACCACCAAATGGTCTCAAATCTTCATGAAACTTTGAATATAGATTAAAAATGACCTAAGTTGAAAATCCTAAAAGTTTTAAAGTATTTTGAGTTATAATTTATTTTTTAATGATTTGATAAATATATCAATGGTATACTAGAAGTTCAATAAAGTTGAGTTTATATTTTTTAAAATTTCTCAAAATTTAATTAGTTAACTTTAAAATTATAGGTTAATTAAGTTACTCTACATGACTAAGATTTAGGAATCAATCAAATTCAAATAATCATAAGATTAATTATATAGATCCCTAAGGACCTAATGAACAGCTCATAATGATTTGTTCATCATATTTAGTACTTTGAAATATCGACCGCGGGAGCCCTAGTCGCCGGCCTTTTGGCTGGAGTTTGGAGATCGGGCCCTCACCGCCGGCCTCTCTGTTGGATCGGAGCAGTGAGCCGGAAGTAGTCAATAAGGAAGTAGATATACAACATCGACCGCGGGAGCCCTAGCCACCGGCCTCTTGGCTGGAGTTCGGAGATCGGGACCTCGCCGCCGGCCTCTCTGTTGGATCGGAGGAGTGAGCCAGCTTCTAGGCTGGAGTTCGGAGATCGGAGAGATAGCATCAAAGTTTTGACCATGGGAGCCCTTGCCACCGGCCTCTAGGCTGGGGTTCGGAGATTGGAGCCTTCGCCGCCGGCCTCTTTGCAGGAGATCGGTGTAGTGTGCCCCCTCACTGCTAGAGTTTCAAGGGGCCCAAGCCGCCGGCCTCTCTGCTGGAGTTCGGAGTCCTCGCCTCCATTCGCTCCTCGTCTTGTATGAGCCCTCGCCTCCGTTCGCGAGCTCTAGGAAGATTCTCTAGCGGAGCTCTATTCCGCACAGTAGCCGAAGATCTACGCTGTTGATGCCTATCCTTATCAGCGGCATTCCCTCCGTCTTTCCTCTGGTTTGATTTCTTCTGTACCCTTCTTATGGCTGCTAGTCGTTTGCATGACCCGGGTTTTTTAAATGGGATTTTGCCACCTCATTCTTTTCAGGAGGTCCTATCCGGAACCTCTTCCATATCAAGTTTTCCACTTTTGAAAGTTTCTTCCTGCCACAGTCTTCCTACTTTATTGATTTCTAATGAAGAATTGGATGCCCTAGCTGCTCCTTTTGTGTTTGCCTTGGTTGGGAAATTTCCTAGTAGTCGTCCGTCGTTGGAATCTATTCATAATTTTTTTTCAATCTTAAACTGAATGGTGAGTTCTCTGTCACTGTTCTCAACAAAAATAATGTTTTGATCAAGCTTAGGAATGATTTGGATTACTGTCGAGTTTTCACTCACGGTTCCTATTTTGTTAACAACTGTTACATGAAGTTGGTTAAATGGTCTCCGCATTTTGACGTTTGTGTGGAATCTCCTATCATTCCAATTTGAGTTTATTTCCCTAACCTTCGCTCTCATCTGTTCTCTTCATGTATTCTTCAAGGGTTGGGGTCCATTTTTGGTCGACCCTCAAAGTCTGATAATGCTACTACCAATGGAACTAGATCGTCAGTTGCTCGTGTACTTATTGAGCTAGATATTACTAAGTGGTATTAGGATCAAGTTTGGCTTGGTTCCGAAACTTTGGGTTATGCCCAAAATGTGGAAATGGAAGTTTTCCCCTTCTATTGTGGTCATTGTAAAGCTTTGGGTCATTCAAAAGCTGATTGTAGTGTGTTGCATCCTCATCCTGCTATTTCCCCGTACATGTGATTGGTTCAGTTTTGGAACCTGTGGCTCATCCTGTGGCTAAGATTTATAAGGTGGTTTCTAGTATTTGTGTCCAATCTTTGGCACATGTGGAGTTGGGGTTGTCTGCATATGTTATTTTTTCTCCTCTGATAATGCCTTGTGCTGTCGAGTTCAATAACTCGGATGTTGTTGCGGTGGTTGACATGCCGCAAAACCCCTTGGTTGTTGATGTTGCTCCTGTGGATGCATTAGTTGCACCGGTTGTTGTGCTTGAGTCGGTTGCACATTCCTGCACCACCTCTTGCTTACTTATTTCACCTGATGGAGTTTTGACTACTGGTGTGGCAGCTGATGCTCCTTTGATTTGTATGGATGGTGAGGGTACCTTGCCTACTATTGTGGGTTTGGTGAAGACGATTGATGGTAGGGGTGTGGGTGGATTTGAGGTTGATGATGGCGATGAAACTGGTTCTATTTGGATACTGCTGCTGTTTTTTGTGCTCTTTTAGATGGAGATGTTCCATTGTCTAAAAGTTTTGTATAGTCACTTTTGAATGTGCCTTTAACCCATGTTTCCAAGGATGATTTGCAGACTCACATTTCGAGGGATAATGAGGTGATGCGGGGTGACTTGTTACATGCCGACAATTCCTCAGCTGATGGTGATGATTTTTATGTGGATGATTTGGCTTTAAGAACAGAATTTTTTAAAAGAAGTGGAAAACGTAGAGCTCGCAATTCTAAAAAGCAGTGATGCTATTTTTGGTTTTGATTTGGTTTTCATGGACGTTTCTTCGTGCTTTTGGGAGCTGTTTTGGTGCTGGCATTGATGCTGATGCACTCTTTTTGGTTGTTAGAGCTGATTTGATTTTGTTTGGTGTTGGTTTGACTTGTTTCCATTTGTCTTTCCCTATATTGTGTGATTGAGCCTCCTTTACATTTGCTTTGTGTTTCTATTTTTTAGCTTCTTTTGTTTGATCCTGTCTTTAGTTTGAATCTATGACTCATAGGTTTTCCTTTAAATAATGTATTTCTAGAGGGCTTTGATTCTTTAAGGACTTGTATCCTTATTTTGCTTTAACTTGTATGCCCCTTCTGTGGGTTTTTTGAAAAAAAAATCTCATCATGATTTGAATTCACATCATTAGTGCAGATCTTCGGCTCCTGTGCGGAAGAGAGCTCCGCTAGAGAATCTTCCTGGAGCTCGCGAACGGAGGCGAGGGCTCATGCAGGACAAGGAGCAAACGGAGGCGAGGGCTCCAAACTCCAGCAGTGAGGCCTGCCGCTAGGGCCCCTCGAAATTCCAGCAGTGAGGCAGAACACTGCACCGGTCTCCAGCAGAGAGGCCGGCGGCGAAGGCTCCAATCTCCGAACCCCAGCCTTGAGGCCGGAAGAAAGGGCTCCCGCGGTCAAAACTTTGACGATATCTCTCCGATCTCCGAACTCCAGCCTAGAGGCCGGCTCACTATTCCGATCCAGTAGAGAGGCCGGCGGCGAGGGCCCGATCTCTGAACTCTAGCCAAGAGTACGGCAGCTAGGGCTCCCACTGATACAAGAGGATGTCTATATTTAGAAACTTCCAGGTTTTGAAAATTCTAAATTCCTTAATCATGTGTTTAAATTAAAAAATGTATTATATAGACTGAAATAGGTACCTAGGGCTAGGTATGAGAGGTTAAGCACTTTCCTATTGACCTCATTTATATTATACTATTCTCTCGACCGCACTTGATCGACTTGATCGAGCTACGATGAGTCGAATGCAAGTCGAATCGGTGTCAATTAGAATTTATTCTTGAGTTGACTCGGATCGAGTCGAATTTGACTCGATCAATTTCAATCAAAATATGGCGACCCCGTCGGGCCCGATTTGTTCTCAATTGATGTTATTTTTGAGTTTAATATTATTAAAATAATCGAGCCACATTGAACCTGAAATCATCTTGATTTGAGTCAAACCAAGTTTGATCTGAACTCAAATCTTACATCAGTTGACTCAAATTAATTTCAATTAAACTCCAGCAGCCTTCTAATATATTTGAATTTAATTCCTAAATCAAGTAGTTATATCGACGGCTGTGAACGAGTATGATCTTCTTTTCAGCCAGAATCTCGCTATTCAGGACATTCCTGTGATTCGAACAGGTATCGAGCATCGAGCAAAGCTGTTTACGGTGATTTCAGAAGCCGAAGGAGGATGGCAAGAAAGGGAGGGCTTCCTTTTTGGGGATCGACGGACACTTATCCCAAACAAAGGCCATCCCTCGGCAAGGGGAGAGTTGGGCATTATTGGCACCCGCTCCTCTCCTGGGATGGATTTTTTTCTGGTTCGTGAGTTCTAGGGCAAGGCCGAAGCCCCCTCCTCTCTCACACGCTATCTCTCTCGGTTTTGCAAAGGCAAGAGGCGGAACCCCCTCCCTCTCTCCGACTCTTCTCAGTTCGCACAAGAAGAAGGAGCCGAGCCCCTCCCATTTTTTCGGTGTCGTCTCCCCTGTTCGCGACAGACCCGACGCCGGCTTCTCCCTTCGAAGCCATCCAACCCTAGTTGCCGACCATTCTCCTTTGGCAAGGTGGTCTCTTCTTCTTCTTCTTCTCCTTCTTCTTCTTCTCCTTCTTCTTCTTCTTTCTTTTCTTCTATTTCTTCTTCTTTTTCCCTTATTTCTTCTTCTTCTTTCTAGCTCTTTCCTTTTTCAACTTTTCTATCTCCTTTCCTACTTTTTCATACATATACATGTATATTTGAAGATGATTTCTTTGTTTATTTGCTTGGAATGAGAATGTTAGAGTGTGGATGTATATTGTTTGGAATGAGAACATTAGAAGTGAATGGCTCATGTATTGATGTAAGTTATTGGAGCTTAAATACTTAGTAAAACAGAATTTATATTTGTTTATAATTCATATCATGCAATGCAAGTCCTCCTTTTTTTTCTTATGCTTAGTTTGTGAAAAAATTATGAGGAATATTGTTGTTATTTCTTTTCTTTAAAGAGATGCATATTAGGTGTTTGTCTTTTTGCCTCTATAGAAATAGCATGAATATTTGGCTAAGAAAGAGCCATGAGAATATCTATTTTTTTTTTATCTTAGTTTCACTTGTATTTTTGGGAGAATGAATTGGAATGAGATGAGATTCTCATGTGCTAAGTACATCTTAGAGAGCAGCAAGCTTAAAACATCCATATGAAACGATTTATGTGAACCTAGTTGATGGTGGGAAAAGTCCAAACACGTGCAATGGACCTTTATTCTTAAAGAGAGATTTATATACCTATTTGTATTTTTTTAAACTGATTCTTATGAGCTTCCATGCTATATGAAAGTTATATGTAAACAAAGCACATTTGTATTCCATGTCATGTATACTCTAAAAAAAAACTGCTTTTCTTCCTAAATGCCTTGTAGTCTATAATAATTGTTTGTCGGCTTTCTTTAGCTTTTGCATGTCTAGGTTCGTTCCTTTGTAGAATAGTGTATGCACACTATATAACCACTATCCACATTAATTGCTTGATGAAGTTGTAACAGAATTCTTTTAAGGATCACTTTCTTAATGCAAAAAAAAAAAAGTTGTGATATAAAGTTGAATGAGAATGCATATACCCACACATGTAGACATTGTAATTATGCCTCATCTATTAGTTTTAACACTTATAGGGGTCGTATATAGCTTCCGACAAACGTCTAGAGAGTGTTTGTATCTGTTTCAAAAAAAAAGAGGTTGTATTAACTCTCTTTTTTGGAGTATGGTTCGTGTACGATGTTGTGTTTCTCTCCACTCTTCTTCATTCATTCGCTTGTTTATGATTTACACATGTTGTTGTGTTTTACTATGTTGCTTTCTCAAAAGGCTCGCAAAAAAAAAAAAGATTGTTGCTTTGAGATTTCTGTAGATTAAATGAAACTCGGGCATGTAATATATTCCGGTATTTGTAAGCGGCTTTCCTCTCGTTGATGCTTTTCTTCATGTTTATTCATGAGATTTATATAGAAAAAAAAGGAAATAAAACAAAATTATTTGTTATTATTATTATTATTGTTTTATTTATTTGTTTGGTTTTGTACATGTAATAATTTATGCATGTGACCATTGTTGTTAGAATAAGGGCTTGTCGTCATCGTCGTCGTTGTTGTTATTGTCGTCGTCATTGTTGTTGTTGTCATTCATCGTATCCATGCTTATTCATATATATATCCATATTTCGATCATTTTATGCATCAAGTTTAATTAAAAAAAATATATATGTATGAGTTGGTTTGATTTCACATCCTTGGATTCATAGCGAAAATGGAATCGTTGCAAAACTTATCTTTTCCTTCAGAGTGGAGGAGTATGGTGGAGTTCAAATTATTTATTTTTTGAGATAAATCTGAAGCTATCTTATGATTTTCTTGGCTAGGTTTCTAATTAATGAAAAAGAAGATATATACATTATGTAATACTTCTTCATATAGTTATTTGATAAATAGATTCAAACATTTATTATAGGTAATTTTGAGTTCTACTATATTCATAAATGCTGCCTTGTGAAAGTAGCTTAGTAAGCAAAGCATGATTATTCCCTTATGTTCTTAATCGCTTCAGTTAAACATATAATCCTTTATTAACTACTAAGGTAGTACAGTTTAAATAGTTAGGAATGTGCTTTTCTATACATTTTTATTTCAATACTTTACTAATTTAAATATAAAAAAATTGTAAAATTAACATGAGGGAAACGGACATTGAGATACTACTATCTTCATTCTTTTTTTTTTTTTTGATGTAGCAATTGCTTTTGCACTTCACTCCAATAAGATTGATTTCTTCTTTTTTATTATGAGCATTCATTCCATTATATAATTTTAATTCTAAAAAAAATGATGATTTTTCTCTTAGTAAAATAACGACATGCTTCTCATTCTTTCAAGTTTTGATTTAAAGAAAGTCGTGGATGAAGTATCTTAAAATCCTCAGTGTATTATGCATGCAATCAAAAGCTCGCATCAATGTGAGGTGAATTGTGCCTCATAACCTTGTTTAAACTATGTAGTTATTATTCTCATTCTAGTGCGATTAAATATTTTCATACAAAAATTTTGAGTAAATTTATGTGGTTATATATGCACATATTTTGTGACTAGATAATATCATGAAACTTCAACAATTTCATTCTTGCCCCCCCCCCTATAGTCCGCATGAAGTTGGAATACCCATCTTTCTTTATGCTTTATATGAGAAAACCTTTACTTTGTTTATGTTTTAGTTGATGACATATACTTGATTGATAAATATTAATTGTTTAGTACTTAGATTACTATCAAATTGCTTCTCTTTTTGAATAGTGCCTGCTCTCACTCCATATTTGCCTTCTTCTTGTTATTTTGCGAGAACATTGAGTCTTGCATATGCGTTGATCAATGGGTCGTTTGCATGGGAGCTTCTAAGTGGGCACGCCCGGGTCAGGTATATCTTGATAGTCCTGTAGAGACCTCTCATTGCATGTCGAACAGTTACATATTAACACACACATTTGATTGCTTTTACTTTCCCACCCAAATACACTTGCTAGGATGTTTAGTTAGCCGACCATAGGTTAGCTCACTAACGAAGCTTTGGCCTTGTGGGCCAAAGCTCGCCCCCTTATCATGAAACCTAGATACCCTTATGGTCATTTTAGGCCTGTAGTGTAGGCCACCCATGTGTGTCATATGCATCGTTTTTTTCACACGAAGTGGACATTGCTAGGATGGTTTTCTTTGGGCTTTAAAAAAAAATATTTAAATAACTATAAAAATTGTTTTCTTAATGATTTTTGGGCCTCTAAATGTCATTCACAAGCATGATAAGAAAAATATACAAAAATGAAATAAAATTTGAGCTCTAATATGTTAGGTAGCTTCTTTTGGTTAGCTTCATGATTGCAATCCCTTAACAATTAGTGTGTTTAGTTACTATTTGAGCCTAATGTAGAACCTATGTCAAGAGTTTCATTTGCTCCAACAATGACATGAAAGAACCTCTAAAAGCTACAAAACCAACTAATACGATACATTAATGAATTCGTAACCAATCTTAAATCATTAATGAACCAATCATAATGATAATCTTTCGCTAAAATTCATTAAACAACAAATATAAGGTTTAATAACAAGATGATTAATTGGCAATCCGGGCCTACGAGGCTATTAACTTAGCCCCAAGGAGGTTGAAATAAACCTCATGGCCCTAGTTTAACAAGGGTAATTATCGCTTAACCTAAGTAAGCAATAATAAGCTACCAACAAATTAAATCTTGCAATCAATTTTTTTTTAATTAATTCAAAAATATAAAAGTGTATATCAAACCTAAACATCAAGTATTAAAAATGGCTAATAAAATGTAACCAACATATGAGCCTCTAATTGAATTTATAAACCATTACAACTTCTAAAAATTCCTTAATTAATCTATGATCTCCAAAATTTCCTTAACCAACATACAATGTTAAAGTCATTAACTGATCAAACGGGATCCTAAAATTTATAAAATACA